TACTCGAGGTATCTTGATCTGTAGCGAACGCGACTCCAACGTAATCGACTTCCTTCAATCAATGTCCGCCGATCACGAACGGCCCTCGATCGGGCATCCTGGGTCGCCTTCGCCCCGACCAACCTTGATCTGTGACGACGACCTGTGTTCGCAATCAGGAACGTTGATCCGGACCCTTGAACCGTCCCCCGCGGTCGCCGAGAGGTAACCTTCATCTCTGCTGCTCGCCTTGGAACGTATGCCGACTGCCTCCCGGCGATCCTATCTTGCCTCCTCCCCAGGGTTCCTGATCACCATTTCGTCTTGATCTGCGGTTGCGCATCCTTCGCATGTCTTGATCGATAATTGATTGGGCTCCGAGCGTAGCCGTTCCCCCTCGATCTTGGTCCGTCGGTACGCCATTGTTTAGGATCGGCTGTCGACAGTGACTTCGTCCCACGAATCGCCTTGATCTGGCCTTCGCGCGATATAATGCGGGTGGGTCATCCTGTCGGGTTGATCTTGGGTCATCTGCAGTCGATCTTGGGTCATCCGTAGACCCCATCACTCACCGGTCTTGTCGCACGCCAGATCTTGGGAAATAGTCTTGATATCTTGGCCCAGAGTGGGATTTCTGTCGCCTGGTTCGTCTCTTTCTCGCGATCTAGCAGCCGAGGTTGCTCTTCTCGTGAGATTTCGATCGCACTTTACCACATGTTCGCGAAAGCTAGCACGTCCCGGTCAGCCCAGACGGTCGCGGAACCGTACGAAGAGCGCGTGTTTTGGCGATTCGGAGCCAGCGAGATGATCCGGCATGATCGAGAACCCGGGTTTATGTCCTACTTCTTCCGGGCGTTTAATCCTGGGACAACGGCAGGGAGTGACGATGGCATATCGGCTACAAGCCAACGGACCGCTGAAAGAATGGTGCAGACCGCGACCAGGGCGCTCAAGATATTCGTTCGCGATCTCGACCAGAAGGATTGGGATGAGTATGCTGAGCGACTTACCTTCGCGATCAACACGGCTCACGATCGGATCCGAGGAGATACCCCTCACTATTTGGTGCATGGTTGGATCCGAGATCGACGTTCACACTGCCGGTCGGATGTACGAGATGGCGCCATCGAGATGCGCGGCGATGGCGTTATCGGGTCCAGCGATATTATCAGCAGCCCGAGGAGCTAGCCAACGCCAGATTGAAGGAAGAGATTCCAGATCGGGCCAGCCGCCACAACAAAGATGCCGGATCGAGACTGAGATCAGAAGGTTTTGTTGTATATATGCATATTGGAAATGTCGGGCGTCGCAGGGGATCGCGGAAGGCGTGGTGCGTCTGAAGAGAGATCACTTGGGAGGAACAACAAAACGAACAAACAGGCAGATATGTGGCTGAAATTTAAAATTACGGTAAAGAGGAATCGCGATCGCGGGATGCAGAGTAGGGATCACGGAAGTTGTCGTCGAGTTGAAGCTAGATCGACGATCAAG